CAAAATGCGTTGGTGGGAACGTTCGACGATATCCTTTACCCGTTGTTGAGGCAGCAAAAGGAGGAGCGGGAGAAAATGAAGCTGGGAGAGGTGAAGGACGGTGAGATTTACAAAACTTTGACCTGCATGAGAGAAATGATGGAGGGCATGAAAGAGGAGAGGCTGAAGTTTCAAGTTATGCTGGCCAAAGAGAAAAAGAGKWAGAGGAAGGGGAAAGAGCCGGCAGAAGAAGAAAGCGACAGTGAGAGYGAGGAGGAAAAGGAGTCGCCTCGTAAGTTGACAAAGGCAGAGAGGAAGGTCTTGAATCAAATTCGAGGTGGACAGGGGACCTCCCATAAATAGGGGAAGAATGGTGGMTAAAATAATAAAGGAGGGAATGGCAGCGCTGGCGGTGGTTCGTCAGGACAAAGTTCCCAGGATCAGGGGCAGTTCCAGCCGCAGGGTGGACGAGGCCGCGGTCGAGGTCGTGGGAACGGACAGCGAAACGTTGGGCGTGGCAGCAGGAGGCCACGTGTAACTATTGTGCAGAAAATCATCATATTATGTGGTTTTGTCAACTTCCTTCAAAAGACAAGAAAGAAGGAATAGTCTTCACCACCATACGCGGTGAAGTCTTTGATTATGAAGGGAATCTGATTGACCCCAACATTGAAGGGGGTATGAGGAAGGAGGCGTTTCGCCGAATGGGTCGTCCCCTTCCGGCGTCCTTCCGGATTGCCTCCCCGGAAGAAGTACGGTTGACCGAGGTCGAGGAGGCCATGGCGTTATTACATATCAATGACTCGTCGGTGGAGCCGGAAGGATTTAGGGAGCAAGTGGTAGAATGAGCGAAAACTATCACGAGGAGGCTTGCCCGATGTCGGGACTCTATCATCCGACTTTGCGTGGACATGGAGGAAGTCTGGCCTGGATTGCCAAATGTCTTTCTTTTTGGCTAATGGGGTGATAAAAGGGAAGATGTGTTTGGCCAAGCAGGGACGTCTACTTCGAGAGAAGTATCACAAACTAGGCCGATGGTAAGCACAATGCAACCCAGGTGTGTGCTAACGAGAAGTCCTCCGATTGTAGCCGTTCAGACTCGGATGCCGTGGCGAAGCGAGCAGCTTCAGAAGGAAAAAGGGTGTGAAAAGACAGTGGAAGAAGAGCCTATCCCCGTTACTGAGAACGAAGAGGATAACGAGGATGAGAAGTCGCGGTCCGAAGAGGAAGAACGGACTCGTCGTCGTGCGCTGGAAAGGGAACCTAAGAAAGGGAAAGCCGAGGTAAGCGAGGAGGAGCCACGAAAGAAGAATAACATTTACTCGATCCCCGTGGAGCAGGGGATCGATATTGAGCGACTCGTCAATAAAATCTTGGAGAGTCAACGTAACTTGGTCACGCTGAAGGAAATTTTGGCAGTGTCGCCAAAGATTCGAGAAGAATTTAAACAACGAATGACTCGCAAGAGGTTCATGATTGTTAAGCTCGGCGAAGTCATTCCGTCGGAGGCTAACTGGTCTCCACCTGGGACAAAGATGGATTGGCGAAGTGTGTCGACCGACCATATGAAGGTCCAGATTGGACAGTAGGAGTATTCGACACTTGTGGATGATGGAGCCAAGATGAACATCATTCGCGCAGCGCCATGCTATTGAAGTTGGGTTAAAGATCAACCGAGAAGATTATGAATTTTTTGTGGGAGCTTGTGGATCGACTCCATTCTGTGGAACCGCCAGTGGCGTTCTTGTCACGGTTGGAAAAGTCAAGGCCTGTTCTTATTTTTACGTGTTACCTAGAGTGAAACACGAGGTACTTCTGGGAAGGGCATTCCTATGTCGGTCGTAAAGCATCATCATTAACAATCATGATGGAAGAATGTGTGTGATCCTTTGCGATCCTGTGTGCGGTTACAACGAGGTGGTCTAGTGTGCGAACACTGGACCCCATTGCTCGCGGAACCGGCTGAATCCGAAATCGTATACCTTCCCGGAGTCAGAAAAATTGAGAAGGGAGAAGGAATCGTTAGGGGAGGAGCCGAACCCTCGTGAGTTCTCACTGACCCTGCCTGATATTGGGCAGGCAATCGATTTTGTGTCGACACATGCTGCGATCGATCCAAATGTGGTGCAAGCACTAACGGAGATCATCACGGACACCGGAAGCGCAGGAACTATGCGCCTTGTTTACTCCCCGTCGGAGGGAAATGGGGGAGAAGATCAAGAATTGTCCTCCACTCGACAGGATCCTTTTTTAGAGGACGCAGGCTTGACACCGGCGCCAAACGTTAGCACAAGAAAGTAGGCGTGAAAGCAAAGTCGATGCCTGTTTTGATCACTCGGGAGGAGGAAGTCTACTATCGTGAGAAGTGTAAGTGGATCAGAGAAGTGGAGGAAAAAGATGAAAAAGGGTCATGTCGATTAACCAAAGAAAGAGTGGACAATATGATCATTGGGGAGGAGGACCTCCTTACTGAGCAGGAAAAGGGGTCATCGATATATTGAGGGAGGAACATCTCGCCTATGCATTTGATGATGATTAGCGAGGAAGGCTGGATGTTGATAAAATCCCTATGATCAGAACCCATATTGTACCACATGAGCCATGGAATGAAAGAGGACCACGTTATCCGAATCCGGAAGATCATCGTAAAGTAGTCGCGTATCTTGATGGGAAGATCCGGACAAAGGTTGCAGATTATTCTTATGGGCCGTATGCATCTCCATGGTTCTGTTTCATCAAGCCGAATGGTACTCTGCGATGGATTCATGACCTCCAGAAGTTGAATTCAGTGACAGTGCGGGATGCAGGTGGACTTCCACATGCAAACCTACTGTCAAAGTCCTGCGCAGGGAGGTCTATCATCACTCTGATCGATTTATATTCCGGGTATGATCAATTTTCCATTTACACTGCGGATCCGCCCAAGATGGCAATGCACACTCCTCGCGGGCTGATCCATATGTGTGTGGCGCCGCAGGGGTGGACGAATGTCGTCGCCATTGTTCAAAGATATATGACGAGGGTTATGTAGCCTTATTGTCCTGGCATAACTTCGCCGTATATTGACGACTTGGCTATTCCAGGGCCTCGAACGAAAGACCTGGCRGAGRTGTTGTCGGGCATTCGCCGCTTTGTCTGGGAGCACATCAATGATGTGGTGAAAGTCCTTAAGAGGTTGAAGGAGTTTARTCTCACAGTTAGTGGGATTAAGTCTCGACATTKTATGAGGAGAGAGCAGTGATCTTGGGATTCCTTTGCGAYGAGACAGGTCGTCGACCGGATGCGAAAAAGACTAATAAAATCTTGGAATGACCGACCCCTTTCAAGTCGATCACAAATGTGTGAATTTTCCTTGGAACCTGTGAATTTTGGTGTATCTTCATCCGCAAGTTTGATGCCAGGTTGGAGCACTTGCGAAAGCTTCTGCGCAAAGGCCAAGAATGGGAATGGGGTCCGAAGCAGCAAGTGGTCGTGGAGGACATAAAGATAGAGTTTCGTGAGGGCGGATTGATTCTTGGAGTTCCTTTCTTCGACGATGACACGAACCGTCCTTTTGTTATTGAGACTGATGCGGGTCCCCCAAGCCTAGGAGGGGTCTTGATTCAAAAGAATGCTGAGGGACAGGAAAGACCTCTCAGATTTGAGAGTAGGACCCTGAATGTTGCTGAGAGGAACTATTCTTAGTTCAAGAAGGAAACTTTGGCCGTGCTTCATTGTTTCCGAATCTTTCAGAATTATGTGTTCAGTAGACGCTTCATCCTGCGGGTGGACCCGACTGATTTCGCTCAATCTTTAAGGAATTACTCACCTTTTGATCCCATTATTGCACGATGGATGACTTATATCTGGATGCTTGACTTTAAAATTAAGCGGATTTCAGGGAATCAAAATCGCGCAGATGGGCTGAGTCGGGTTGAGCTGGGCTTGAGAGATGATCCCCATCGCTTGATGAGTGCCAACCAAAAAACGGACATGAACCGAGTGTCGCGGTCGCAGACGATCTCCTTGGGGTAACGCTTGGTGCGAATCCAACCGGCGTACAGAACCTCGGCCAACTCCGGTGCCTTCGGATGATAGCGACAAGGCAAAAACATGGTGAACTTGGTGACTCGGTCGACCACCGTGAGAATCCCATCCACTCCGGTCTTGTGCTTGGGGAACGGGCCGGTGATGTCCATGGCAATCGCTTCCCTTCACCTCAACGGGACTGGCAATGGTCGTAGCTCGCCGTACGGACGATGGTTGCGGGATTTGCAGCGTCGACAAACCTCGCATGACTCGCAATATCGTGTGACATCGCCGAGAAGGCCGGGCCACCAAAATCGTTGGCAAAGTCGGCCAATCGTGTGATTGACTCCACAATGTCCGGTGGCGGGAGCGTCGTGGAACTCGCCAAGAAGCCGTGTATGCAAGTGAGGATCACTTGGTACGCAAAGAAGGTCCTTCCCCCGCGTGTGGACAAGCAAGTACCCCTCCTGGATCCGGTAGTGAGAAGGAGCCGGATTAGGCGAGGAGCAATTAGCGTACTTGTCGCGAAACTCGGGGTCGGCTTGGTAACCGCGGATGAAGCTGTTCCGCAGGTCATCGTCAATCTCGAAAGTCGAGTAGACCGCGGTACAGTGATCCAGACGCCGTGAAAGAGCATCCACAAAACGGTTCGACTTCCTGGGAATGTGATCGGGAAAGAAGTCAAACTGGTCGATGAAAGTCATCCATCGAGCGATGGTGCTGTTGACGGTGTCTTGGGTCTCGTAGAAGACCAACGGATTATTGTCCGTTACCCAGCGAAATTGGCTTCGACCAAGGAGGAAGTGCCGCCACCGCTTGAGTGTGTGGACGAAGGCGAGGAGCTCCTTCTTGCGTGCATCGTCAATGGAATGCACGAGTGGCACTTTCTTGCTGAAGTACTCGACCTCGTGTCAGTCCACACCATCATGTTGCTCTAGGACTGCACCAATGCCATAGCCTGACGCATCTGTAGTGACACGTGTAGGCGCGAGCGGGTCGTATATCCGCAAGACCTCCGCAGACAATAGCGCGGCTTTGAGAGTGAGGAATGATCCCCGCGCCTCCTCTCCAAAGTCAAATGACTAATCCTCGCGCTGAAGCTTGTTCAAGTGGGTCGCGATCTTGGAGTAGCCTTTGATGAAGCGCTGATAGTAGCCGGTAAGACCGAGGAACGAGCGGACATCCGTGACGTTCCGAGGCTCCGGCCACTCTTGGACGGCCTGAATCTTACCCGATAGCGGACTGATGCCCTCCGGTGTAACAAAATGGCCCAAGTATTCCATCTCTTGCCGGACAAATTCGCACTTGTCGCGGTTGGCCTTGTACTTGGCACGACGGAGCGTCTCCAATACTCGTCGAAGATGTCCAAGATGATCCTCCAATGTCCGGCTGTAGACGAGAATATCGTCTAAGTAGACCAGCACGAACCTGTCCAACATTGCACGAAACTCATTGGTCATCGCCGCCTGGAATGTCGCCGGGGCGTTGGTGAGGCCAAAAGGCATGACCACCCACTTGAAATGCCCGTACCGCATCTTGAATGCGGTTTTGTAGCGATCATTTGAAATCGAGATTTGATGGTATCCTGATTTCAAATCCAACTTGGAAAAATACTTCGCACCGCCCAGCCGCTCGAGAAGATCGTCGATGCGAGGAAGAGGCCCCGCATTCTTGACGGTTTGCGCGTTGAGCTTACGGTAGTCGAAGCACAATCGTAGATCCTTGTTCTTCTTCCTGAGGAAGAGAACTGGTGCTCCATATGGGGAGCTACTTGGGCGGATCCAGCCCTTGGCCAACAAATCATCGAGTTGTGCCCGGAGTACCTCAAAGCTCCTCCTCGCTCATCCGATAGATGCAACCTTTCGGCGGCACGACACCGGCCTCAAAAATGATCTCGTGAGAGATTGGCCGACCCGGCACCATATCGGCAGGTGACTCGAAGATGTCGGCGGACTCGTCTAGCAATCGTACCACACGGGGTTCCGAAGACAAGTCTGTGGGTGAAGAGTCGGCTACCGCGACGGTCTGTAGGAAACATATGCCGATCTCCTCGGGCTGCTCGTAAGCACAAGTCGCCCGGAATGATTTGGCCATCACCACTTGGTACCGGATCGAAGAGTGCGGTAGAGGAATCGTACACGCCACTTCCGCGTCGAAGGCGTCGCGAACGCTAAGAGTCCGCCGATGGAAGTTGACCGTGTGATCCGCACTTGCGAGCCAAGGCATTCCCAGAATGATGTCGAAGTCCGTGTCGAGAATATCGAATGTTACCGGTTCGCATGCATGAGGTGCGAAGTAGACCGGTACGGCCTCGATGTAACGGTCGAGAAGTTGTTGCGTCTTACCATCCGCCAACTTGATCGCCGTCGGGTTTGCCTTCCTCCGAACCTGAGCGCCAAGGCCAGTTCTTTGCATAAAAGACTGGCTCATGAAGTTGCGAGTCGCGCCGCTATCCCGCAAAGCGCTTCAGGATGCTTGCCCAACCTGGATCCGGACATACATGAGCGATGCATTGTTGTTATCGTACCGCTGCGTGCGAAACTCGCTGTCCACCTTGGTAACGTACGCCAGGATGTCCCCCACCGCGACTTCGTCATCCGTCGGCGAAGTTGGTGGTGCATAGAAGGAAAGGTAAGTGTGGAGATGAGCGCTAAGTGCTGCGCATTGCGGTCCCGGCAAACAGCCTGTGGTCGGGAGAGGAAGCCATGCAAAGTCCTCAGAAGTGAGCGGGTCCAAAACCTCTATCTTGAACTCGCGCGCCGAATCCCGTGACGAACCACTTGAAGACGATATGTCGCTGTTGGCGGACGGAGAAGAAACCGCACACACTCCTTGTCCTTGAGCCTGAGTACCCAGCGTTGGAACGAGCCGAGCAGCATAGTCCTAAAAAGAAAATAGAAGCGGAGAACTGTCGACTTCCGCGAGCGCCTCGGAATGAAGGCTGGTCACTCGCGAAGAAACCAGTTCCGAAGGCGTCGAGAGTGTTGTCGCATCACTCTCGGCGGTGCTCAGTTTCCCTGTCGACCCTTGCCCTTCAGTGGGCAAACCGGCSTCAGATGAAGATCGYTGTTGCACCACAGGCAATAATGGAATCTCTCGCGCGCCTTGTAGGCGGACTCGGAGAGGCCATACGGGGTCCATGGGCCTGTCTGAGCTGCTGCACTGGGCCCGGGGCTAGAAATGGTGTGTGTCTTCGGCTTGCCGCGCCCTCGGTCTCTGCCGGCGCGGCCACCTTCCCGGGCGGCTGCGAATCTGTCTCCTTCACTGGCAGACGCAGCCTCGCTGGTTTGGTCTAACGGCACTGCCGCAACGATCACGGCCACTCGTGGCCGATGCTGGTTCCCGCTCGGGCCTGACGCAGAAGAACAGAGGTTCTTGGCCTCCTTGTTCGTAACGATGATCTGCGACGCCTTGTCGAATAGTTCCGCCGTCGTCGTCAAGGTGTCCTCGACATGCGTCAGGGCATTGCTCAATGCCGGACATGACCTTGAGATGAAGTAGTGGCGGATGGCCTTGAAACCCATCTGGATGCCTGGGACTGACGTCAAGCGTTGGTACTCGGCGATCCAGTCCGTACTCGGCAGCCAGCCTTGCTCGAAGACCATAAGCTTGTCCATGGCTTTGATCTCTGGCGGCTCCACCTGGAACCGCTTGTGCCACGCCGCCTTCAGATCATCCCAGCTGATCATGGTGTGCAAGTTCGCTGCTACCACTCCGTACTTGGACAACAAGTTGTCCAACCACGCCTGACACGCCCCCCCTGAGCGAGAGTACAAGTAAGTGTGGTGCTTGTTTTCCTTGACGCTGCGAAACCATGGAATTGGATCTGTCTTGATTGAGTCGTGGAAGATCTCATCCCCATCGAACTTAAGAGCTGTCTCGCGCGGCTCCGGACTCGAGGTGGTGGCGGTAGTGCAGATCCGCTGTTGCAATTGTTGCCTCGCAGTCTGGTGTAACTGTGCGCCATCCTGGAGGGAGCCGACGTGCATCTCCAATGCGGTGAGGCGGTCGGCAGTATTGGAAGAGCCTGCGTCGGCAACGGCGACTGGTCGCTGCTCCACCCGCTGAAGGCGGTCTTGGAGGTTAGCTACCGACTTGTCGAGACCGAGGATCTCCTCCTGCTGTGTAAAGCAGGTTGCCAGGAGATCCGTGAGATGCGAGAGGAGGAGCGCTATCTTGTTTGCGCTGTCCTCCAACTGGCTGTTCTCGGCCTCGCTTCGCCATTCTGCTGCCATGGTACGTAACGCACGCTCTCCGGTGAATATCTTCTCACGACGCTGTGTTCTTTCTTCATCATCAGCCCCTGCTGCTGCCTCGTCGTGCTGGCGCTGTTGTTGCATGGCCAGCAGACGTGCCTGTTCGGCATCCTCTGCCCTTTTCTTAGCTGTCGCGGCAGCGTCATCTGCCCGCTTCTTTGTCTCGGTACTCTAGGCTAACATGCGGGCCTGATAGGCCTCGTCTGTTTCCCCGGCATTCTGGTCCATGACTGCTGTCTGTGAACGCAACAGCATAGACCAGACCGGTGCCTGCTGATGTGGTATCCCTTGCTGCTGACTTGGCAATGCTGACGTGTCCTGCTGACGTGGTCTGCTGACGTACTTATGTAGCCTGCAGACGTGTCCTGCTGACGTGGTCTACTGACGTGGCCTGCTGACGTGGCAACTTACCAATGCCGCCGCAGGGGGTACCCGGATACAAACAGAAACGGCAAGGCGAGAGATGGCAACAACATAGGTGGGGAGGGGTGGGTGGGATAATCGCCCAACTCACACTTAGATAAGGAGCCACTAATCAAATGAGAAAAGTTTGAACTTTGCAAAAAAAAAAAAATTTCGAAAAAACTAAAAAAATAAACATCCCGATTTTTGTAAGTTCGGTAGGTCTCCCAATCTCCCTTGAAGTACGAAATGATCTCTGAAAGCGAAAAAAAATTCGACTTTAGACTGCAACTGATTTACAGAACCAACTGACAGAATCCAAGAACTGCGAAAAAAAGTCCGAACAGAAATGACAAATATTCGGATTTATTCCGATGGGAATATTCGCAGTTTGAACAAAAATAATACGTGCAGGAGGTATTTCCAGTACCGTTTTCAGAAAAACGAATTTCAGAAAAGAATATATTCCAAAGTTCTAAGTACGGAAAAATGCAACAGAAAATCAAAATTTTCAAAAAGAAATATATTCCGGATTTTTAACAACAAAATTTTGAATTTTCAGAAAGAAAAACGAAAATAGGAATTTCAGATGTTGCGATATAGCGATTTTCCACAGCAGAATAGCAAGAAAATAAAATCCGAGAAAAGAAAAAAAATCGATTTTTTTTTTTGTAGTAAGGTCAAGATCGTGATTTTGGGGTCCAACTAGTATGTCCTAATCAACAGCAAAGACTAACTAGCTTTTTGATCCCCGCACACGTGTGAGATCAGATAGTCCTGATTCACATGCAAAAGCTCCGATACCAACTGTTACATGCACAGATATGCAATGTACGTAATAAACCGAGAATCTGCAATGTGATGAAAAGGACTGAATAGACAATGCGGTACGAGTAGAATCTCGACAAGCAATGTACATTCTCATTCATACATAAAGATGCTGAAGAGCGCAGGGAAGACTTTGATACAAGACTGACCTGACAGGACTGACCTCATTCACGTAGTTCAGAGTAACGAAGCAGAATGCTAGAGTACCTCTAACTAGCCCAATCAATGTTTGAACTCAGACTAAACGTGCCTTGTATCCATCACGAAGTGTGAAGGAGCCTGGCGCTACACACAAGAAGAAAGCGCCAGGTCCAGACATACATAGACGAAGAGATAAGGAACAAACGAAGGGAGGGAAGAAGATGGGAATGTCGTTAACACCAAGTCTTGGTCACCAATCCCAAATAGTCCCTCGTTGCCATGTCTGAACCCTCGAAAGTCGAGTCTGGATCCAATGTCACCAAGCTCTGTATCTCTTCTCTCATAGTCTGCAGATGCAAAGAGGTCAGAAGTTAGAGGGAGAGAAGAGATGGTGGACTGAGAAGAGGAAGAAGAAGAACTCCTTCTATCTCTCTGTTACGAACCAAGTACTAACCTGTGATGTTGGCGCTGTGCTGCAGGTACCTCGAAGACGAAGCTGGAGCAACGGCGCTGCAGGTAGGTGCGCCCAGCGTTGAAGACTACTAGCTAACGCTACTACTACTACAACGCAGCGCTCCCTCCAGAGTGCTACTCCCGAATCCTTAAGACTACAACTGCCGAATTGCCTACCTCAGAAGTGCCTGGGAAGTCCTATGTACTACCTCGGCCTGCCTCCTGACTACTGGAGGGCAGTCAGGCAGAGGAGGCAGCTTTTGCCAATGCCGAAATGTGTCAGGGGCTGGCGTGCGGCAGCCTGCTTGAGGCTGGCGTGGGAAACTAACTAATAATAGTTTGTTTCCGAAACCTTGGTTCGGTGCCTGAGTTTCAGGGCCAGTCGTTCTGATGAACGACCGAAAAGGACCCTTCGTTTCAGGCTAAAAAGGTTGTAGCCATTTTTAGTCTGAAACGACCAAGGATAGGCCCTGGACTTCAGGCTTTTGGCCTGAACCAACAGGGGGCCTGTAAGCCCTGGATTTCAGGCTTTCAGCCTGAAATTCAGGCTTTCGACCTGAAGTTCAGGCTTTTGGCCTAAACGTTGTCGGGCGTGCAAAATGGTCGTCGGGCCTGCAAAATGGTCGTCGGGCCTGCAAAATGGCCCGTGTGTGCACGCGCTGCATGTAACACACAGAGAGAGAGAGAGAGAGAGAGAGAGAGAGAGAGAGAGAGAGAGAGAGAGGGGTGGGGTCAGCACGACCATGGTACCGCGTAGACGGCCTACCGGTTGGGTAATTAGCAAAAACGGGAGGGCCTGCTACCGGTACCTTCTCCCAGGCCAGGCCAGGCCACACGGCCTGCTACCGGTACCTTCTCCCAGGCCAGGCCAGGCCAGGCCAGGCCAGGCCAGGCCAGGCCAGGAAATTGTGCCAGGTGATCCCGGGCCCTGCCTCGTCGCCAACCTCGCCATCAAGACGAGGAGCGATGGACCCGCCATACTTCCCCATCGGAAGTACCAGCTATGCCGGATAGGAGTCCTTGTGAGGCAGCCCTAGAAACGGGTTGAGTCAGAGGTGCTTACCAGAATCCACAGAATCTCTTTCATTTCTTAGATCCTAAGTCCTTTGTCGAAGGGGGGTTAATGCTTTGCTAAAGCCAGCTTATGGTAGGTTGGCATGGATAGAGAACTTCTACGGAGAGGATCGAGAAGAAAGAGGAGAGGTAAAGACCCTCCTTCAACTGGACTGATAGGAGAGTTGATGTAGCTCAGTGGTTAGAGCACCGGTTGGAAACGCACATTGTGGCATAAGGTTGCGGGTTCAAAGCTCAATTGCAGCCTTGCGCATGGACACCGGCAGGGCGTTAGATTGACGCACGGCTGGACATACACTCCCTTGGGATGACGCATGGTACTATTACACACACTGCCTGCGCACCACCCAAGGGCTGTTCATGGTGTTGTATGTTGGTTATGGGTTTCACATGGGCTGCTTGGGGGCTTTGGTCTTGGGTGTTCTGTCGATCTCCCCAGTCAGGCATATCACACGTTTGTGCCATTTCCGCTAGTTATTCACATGGTACACTCATTCGATTACACGCTACCAGGTCATGGGTTTGAGCTTGGTCCGGACCTTCGGGGGGTGGGTTCTTGTCCAGCTTACCCCATTCTCACTTCAAAATACACACATGATGCTGCCTATGCATATCGATACATTGATTCACAGAGCACACACAGCCTTCGGGCATATTATAAGGCTTAGACCCTAGGGTAAAGGCAGGACGGAAATCAGTCGCTTCTGTCACGAACTACTCCCCGAACCTGTGCTATCTTTCGTACCCCTTTGGCTCAAATTTTTCTTGTACCATACCGACCCTACGAGTACCCCGTTTGTTTTCTTGATTTTGAGCACCGTGTTTTTCGCCCCCGTTTTGTCGAAAGCTTGGTTGATTCTTGGAATTCTGCTTTTTGCAATTCAGGAAATACACGGGAATTTACACGCGCCTTAGGGAGCGCACTGGGAATTGGGTCCGACAGTTGGGAATTCCAAGATAAGCGCCATAGCGAGCGCACTGGGAATTGGGTCCCGCAGTTGGGAATTCCGGGATAAGCGAAACTTCGACGTGTCCTTTTTTTGTGTGTGTTAGGACATAGGCAAGCTGTAACTGTTTCGGTGCCTTTTTCTTTTACTTTTTGTTCACGGCGTCACGCATGCGAAGCTTTCCCCCCCCCCCCCTCTGTTTCCCGCATCGTTCTCTCCCGCGCTCTTCCCTCCTCCCAACCTTCTCATCCTCCCTTCTTGCAACTGTTTTCCCACTCTCTCTCCCACTCTGATCGGATGCGCGCCCATTTCCCTTTCTTGATCATCTGAATCTTGGACCCGTCTTGCGCTACTTCTCGCGCCTTTTTCCTTCTCACCTTCTAAATTCAGCGCACGACGCCCAGTCGATCCTTCGATAACTCCCGCTCGCCAATCAGGTACGTGGATCAATAGGATCTCCCTATTATGCGACGAATCTGATTGGTTGAACCTTGAGTCTCGCGGGATCAACATGGCTTCCACGGAACACTCTTCTCAAAGTCTTCTCCTCCTGCCTCTTTTCTTACACTTCAACTTTCCTCCTGCCTTCTCTCTCCCTCGCCCCCCTTCTCGCCACTATAAATTCCGCAAACGCGCCCACAAATCTCTCTTACGTTCTCGACTCCCAAGCCAGCTCCTGAGAAGCAGTGGCTAGGCAGAGTGTTTGGTGCGAGTCGGAAAGTCCTGTCGGGTTGACGATAGGCTGGCTGGTTGCGCGCTTGATCACCACGACGGACTGTGGGATCTGGGCGAACCGCGTCGAGTTTACGTCGGCGGGGTGACGATCGCAGTGGTGGGAGTTAGCACGCGACGACCAGGATCGTCGGTGCGGGCATGAGGATCGATTGATTGGAGTTTAGTGAGTAGTTGGCCCAGGGTCATATTGGAATTCACGACGAATGCGCCTTTCTTGTTGTAGATCTTTATCTCTGGTGTGAGTGTACGGCGACAACGCCGAACTTCCTATTTTTGGATCTTGTCATTTCCTATCTCGATCTTCCTCCCTTGTCTCTCTCTCTCTCTCTCTCTCTCTCTCTCTCCTCTATCTTTGACGATGAGTCTTGATGAATGTCACTCTCATGAATGAGAATGAATTTGTGTGCTCTCCGACGTGAACTTGAAGGAACTTCTTTCGAAACTCTTCCATTAGCTTCCTGGGTAATCACCGGATGTCGAGGAATTGATCCTCTTGTCTTGTGAACGGTGGATGCGTGTGTACAATTTCCTCGGTTGATTCCCGACCTGTGTACCC